TGGATGGTTCGAGTTAGGAAGGGCAGTTTTGGTGGACCCTGATGCTATTCACGTCCTCGATCAAAGTTTGCCCTTCCTCAATCGCTCAAAAGTTCTTTCTGATGTCCTTGGTGAAGCATGTTCACGACCTCTTGCCATAGAGCAATGCAGTCCTCGGTTTTGTGGCCCCGTTCCTGATGGAATTCGCAGAGGGCATTTGACTTTCTGGTGTTTGGGTCGGACCTCATCTTCTGCGGCCACTTCAGTTTTGGGCCGAGCTTCTCCAGCGCGTAGACTATTTCTAAGGGAGAAACACAGAAATTGTGGGCAGATAGTAGTGGAGGCATACCTCTTTCGCTTCGGTGAGTCCCTGTTGGCGGCCTAGATCGGCCGTTGCCATGATAGGGAGGTGGTATGACGCTCTGACATATGGTCGATGTCTTTCACGGTTGGGTCGCGGGCCTGCATGGTCCTTTCTATTGTCATTTCTTCGGTCTTTCCTGGATTCTATTTGGACTGAGGTTAGTCGTTGAGTTGGACCATTGAGTTCGTCCTCGTCAGCTTGCACTTCGGCGCAGTAGGCGTTGTGTATCTCGTCCCAAGTGGTTGGGGGATATTTCATGAGTCAGCTCAATATTTTCTGGTCGCCCTCGAACTGCTCCTGTTTAACCCATTCTGGAATGCTGCTACTGCCATTCCCTCTGATACATTTGGTAAGGTCATCCTCACACAATCGAATCGGGCGTGGAAATCTCTTAGTCCTTCACCGGGTGATTGTTTAATGGAAAATATGTCATTCACCCTTGCCTCTACTTTCTTAGCCCCGGCATGGGCAGTTACAAACTTGTCGGCTATTTCCTCGAACGTCTCTGTGGAACGTGCAGGTAGCTGTCAGTGCTCCCCCGGTGAGGGTTTCACCAAAGGTCTTCAGTAATATGGAAGACACTTGTTCTTTGCGAGGTCGTTGCCTTTTACTGCAGTGACATAGTGCGTCACATGATCCTTAGGGTCCGTCGTGCCATCGTATATTTTCAAGTACGGCAACATTTTGAAGGTTTTAGGTATGGCGTGTGGTGAGCTTCGTCACTGTATGGTTGCTCAACAAACCGACCCGCGTCCCTTTTTGGTAAGAGTTTTGGGGCACCTGGTATTTTGTCTACCCTTTCTTGGTGCTCTTTCATTTGGTCACGGAGCATTTTATTCTCGTTCTCCATCTTCCTCAAAATGGTTGTGAGGGTGTCGTTACCTGTATTACTAACGTTGTGAGTAATACCTATCACAAGAGGAGGGCCGTGCTGCTCGTCTGTCACTGGTGCGACGCAGACTCTTGCATCTTCTCTGTTCGTCCTTTGGGCGGGCTTGTCGAGAATGCTGGTCAGCGTGTTTGTCAACCATGCCTCGAGCAGCTTTTTCACCACCGGTGGTGCCTCTTCCGTTGTGGATGTAGAGGCCCCTTTACCGTGTGAGGCTGTGATGCTGCCGTGAGGGAGGGGTGAACCACTCCGCCTGGGGGAGGCGTTTGGTGTCACGTCCTCAGTATCTGTTCCATCGGCTTCGCTGATGTTGTTTAGGAGGCTGTTAATAAGACTGGCTACTTCCTTCATTCTTTCCTCTCCATTACCTGCCATGTTCAACTATGCACGCAAAAAGAGACAAGGTTTTGTGTTGTTTTCTTTTAGATTTGAAAGAAACTAGGATTTTAACTAAAAAGTCCTCACAGTCGACGCCAAATTGTTTGACCAAAAGATGATAATCTTTGGTTAAACTAATTAATCAGTTATTAAGGAGAGTTAATCCTAGTTAAAGCTAATAACTTCAGATCTTGGGTTGACAGTACGAAAGGTGTGAGCAATGAAGAAACGGAATTAATGTGCAAGCAATAAATGAGTCGAATGTAATAATGTGCATAAAGTATCAAGTATTAAATAATAACAAATGGCAATAAATGTAATTAAGGAGAAAAATTCACCAAATATTGATGAGGTGAATAATTCTTCCCTATGACAATGATGAATGACAAGAATATAAGAGAATATTGAGCACTTTCTTGGATCTGGTGGAAATGATAATAGATAATCCAAAAAGGTCGAATCTCTCCAGAAAGTTGTTCTTTGTATTTATCTAGAGAGCTTACTTTTCAAAAGTGTTCTTATCATATATGATATTACATGCCCTTTGTCTTATCTCTCCTTTTATTTATATGAGATATTCCCAAAGAACCCTAAAAGTACAAACATAGAGAATATTTAAGAGAATATTCCCTCTGAAGATCCCAATACAAAACTAGTCGTTACTACTATATGCTCTACTCGACCTCGGCCGTGGTTGACTGCTTGGCAACTCGTTCCGTTGATCACTGGTTGACTTCGGCCAAATTGCCCATGATAAGTTACAAATTGCTCATGATAATCACCTCTTCGTGATAAATTTCCTCAGTCGGATTTTGAACCATACAATTATCGAGCTTATTACTGAATTGTCAATTGTATTATACTACAAGAAAAAACATGATAAGACTAGAAATTATTTATTATTTCTGAAAGGGCATTTTTATGATATTTTGTGTTTAATATACTAGCATGTTTTCTGACTTGTCCCCAATAAAAATGGTTGTGCTAAGTGTTATTGCTCAATGAGCTAGTGACTCACTCCTCGCTATTTCTTTCCAGAGACGGCAGTTGACGCAGACGAGGATTTCATTGATTAGAGCGCAAATGTTGATATTTCTTGGTGAGCCTAACACTTGTTCGTGTGGGCAGAGATTTTATTTATTGTTATGGTATTTTTTGGAACTCTTAGAGTCGCTCCATAGTTATTCTTTTAGTATCATGAGTATTTTTTCGTTATTATAGACTTATGATGAGTATTGAACTTTCTTATCGAATTTGAAGATAAATTAGTATTTCTGGTTGTTAGTGAATTGATTAGTAATGGTGGAGACTTATTTTGGTTAATTGATAAGTTGTTGATTCTCCGGTTTGATATTAGGATAGTTGGTTGTTGATTTTGAGACAAGATTTTTTGGGGATAGTTCAAAAACATGGAAAACTCTATCCGTTTTTCTGTAAAATACTGATAAGGCTTTCTTGGGAGCACTTGCTCCTAAGCACCGGTCACGATTCTAAATTGGGTCGTGACATCATCCTCATTTCTGCCACTTTCATCTTCTGGGTATGAGAATTCTTGTCTGCCCAACACTCAGCCCCATACAACATGACCGGTCTAACCACCGCTCTATAGAACTTGCCTTTAAGTTTCGGTGGCACTTTCTTGTCACACGGTACTCCAGATGCTAACCTCCATTTCATCCACACCTGGATAATTGACCCAAGCTACTTGAAACTTCCTCTCTTAAGGATGACTTGTGAGTCAAGCCTTACGTCCACGTCCGCTTCCCCGACGCATCGCTGAACTTACACTCTAGAATAATTGGAGATCGAGTTGATAGAAAGTTATTGTTATAATTACTTCTTATGTTGCCAATAATTAAAAATCCTGACGTCTTTAAACTGCAAGGTTCCCGCTCCAAGTTCACTTTTCATTGACAACCAAATAATTCAACATTTAATTTATAGTTCTCTTGATATTCTGTTTTTACCTGTTATTCCCCGGAGCATGTTTCCCCCTCCCACCTCTACTTGTTTATTCCTGCTTTACTTTCCGTTGTATATCATGTCACTGTACAGGTTTATTTGGTGGTCTGGTCCTAGCCTCGTCACTACCTTGCCGGGATTAGGCCAGACACTTACCAGCACATGGGGTCGGTTGTGCTGATGCTACACTCTGTGCTCTTTTGCACAGATCCAGGTACCGGAGCAGCATACGATGCGCAGTAGTAGCGCGGGAGTTAGCCTTCAGTCCAGCGAGACACCGAGGTAGCCTTGCAGGCGTCCGCATGCCCGACGTCTCTTCTATCTTTTATTTCAGTCTGTTATCTCATGTATTTCGAGACAAACAGTTATATTTTCTTTCAAACGGTTGTATTTAGCACTCTTAGTAGTTCGTGAGTATGTGACACCAGTTCTTGGGTAGAGGTTTATGTTGAGTTTCCGCATTGTTATTCAGATTCTTTAATTTAAGACTTCCGCTTATTTACTTTGTTCCGCTGTTTTCATGATATTATCGATAATTGTTTAAAAGAAGCAAATTGGTTAATGCTAAAGGTAGTTAAGGGTTGGCTTGCCTAGCTCTCATCAGTAGGGGCAATCACGACTCTCGAGGGTGGGAAATCCGGGTTGTGACAAAATAGTTCAAAAACAGGAGAAACTCTGTCCGTTTTTCTGTAAAATACCGATAAGGCTTTCTTGGGAGCACTTGCTCCTAAGCGCCGGTCACGATTCTAAATTGGGTCGTGACAACATCCTCATTTCTGCCACTTTCATCTTCTGGGTGTGAGAATTCTTGGCTGCCCAACACTCAGCCCCATACAACATGATCGGTCTAACCATCGCTCTATAGAACTTGCCTTTAAGTTTCGGTGGCACTTTCTTGCCACACAGTACTCTAGATGCTAACTTCCATTTCATCCACACCTGGATAATTGACCCAACTACTTGAAACTTCCTCTCTTAGGGATGACTTATGAGTCAAGCCTCGCGTTCATGTCCGCTTTCTCGACGCATCGCTGAACTTACACTCTAGAATAATTGGAGATCGAGTTGATAGAAAGTTATTGTTATAGTTACTTCTCATGTTGCCAATAATTAAAAAGCCTGACGTCTTAAAACTGCAAGGTTCCCGCTCCAAGTTCACTTTTCATTGACAGCCAAATAATTCAACATTTAATTTGTTTTTGATCATTTTTTCATATTGATGAGTAATCAAGTGATCTTTCCTAATTAGACATAAAGACAGCAGCAAGACAACTTTCATAATTTGTTAATACTCGGGGTCTCTCTTATTTTGGCAGGGAGAGATACTAATAAATTCCAACTCACAAACTTCTAACTCTAGGTCAAACACTATATTATCAACTTAATTATGTAGTATGTCCTATTGAATATTGAAGAAACAATTCTGAATTCACACGTAAAAAGAACAATATATACCTTGTATAACACTATGATACAAATAAGCATTCAGAACCAACTTAATTGTGCCTGCTTGCCTTTGCCAAGAAATTAACACCCCAACCCCTAATTAAGAATCAAAATCCACTAACTACTATAGTACTAATTATTTTCCTACTTCTCTCAGCCACAAAAACCTATCTTAATAACAAGTAGAAAGAATAAGAAGTTACAACTTATAAAGCAGTACAGTAGAGAACTTAACCACCTACCAAAGGACCATTAAAAAACAAACTAAAATCTAATACTTTTACTTATAAACGAAAATTGGTTAAACCAAAAGTTCTTTCCGAATCTTTGGACAACTTTGGTCATTCTCAAGGCTCTTTACCTTTTGAAAAACCACAGATGAAGAAGATGGTTGATACTCAGGTGATTGTCGCGGAAACTCTGATAACATTTGAATGACTTCTCTCATGGTTGGACGTTCTACGCTATTTTCTTGAATGCAAAGCATGGCAATGAAGAACAAATGCATGGCTTCATCTTGTGGCACTGTAGTTAGTCTTGGATCTACGATATGTGTCACTTGTTCTCTTTTGCAATTTGTTACTCTCTTGCTCCATTGTACTATGTCCACTCCGTCTCCGAATTCTCCTACTGGACGACGCCCTGTGATTAGCTCCAATAGAACCACACCAAAACTATACACGTCGCTCTTTTCATCTACTCTCAAAGTATATGCATATTCTGCAACAACAAAAAATAGAAAGAGGGAAAAGAACAGTATTAATTAAAGTAAAAATCATAGAAGCAAATATGATTGATTATGCATCTTGGAACTAGTAGTATACTCTAGTGACTTCACTCTATACCTTCTTCTGCCTTACAAATTTTAAATTTTATGAATTATCATTATGTACAGATTCGGACAAATCCAATAACTTTTATTTAGATCTTATACCTGTATTAGAAAATTTGTGATATATCTCTATATGAATGCATAATTGTGAACTCAATAAATAAAACAAGTTATAGGTTCGTTGGACGTCTAGATCCCGTAAATTTTTAAATGCTAGCTCTGTTTCTGAGTAAAAGTAACCTGCAAAATTGGATAAACTAGAAAATAACATAATATTATAATCTTTTTGATTGAGTGTATATATATATANAATCGCACCTAAAGCAAGCTACGATGTTCGAGAGTGATTCAACTTTCCTAAGATTTGAGATTGCATGCGGGAGTGTATAACTATGGAGTTACTTGGAGATAAAGTATACAAATCAAGGTAAATTTGGAAGTTGACTTATGTGGGCTGCCAGAATATTGAAGACTTAAGAATCTTTCTTCAATTGAATTAGATTAATGAGTGGGTTGCTTTCAGTTGATTTATTTCAATGAGAATTCATTTCAAGATAACACTACCGTGAGTTAAGATCAAGTAAAAATAGCACGGTATAGCCAGCTTTCGGACTGGTCAATCAAAAATAGCCAGCGTTTACCAAGTCAATGAAAAATAGTCACTATTTTGCTGCAATAGAGACCGGTCCAGCATAATATACTGGAGTTCGGTGCACTTGTGTATGAACTCCAGCATATTATGCTGGACCGGTATACTTTGTTGGCTCCAGTATAATATACTGGAGACTGGAGCACCGGTGCTCCAAATTCCAGTATATTATACTGGACCAATATACTTGCTGGAACTCCAATAAATTATGCTGGAGTTCTAGTGTACTTATGCTGGAACTCCATCATATTATGTTGGAGTTCCAGCATACTTATTCTGGAACCCCAGTATAATATGCTGGAGTTCAAGTATACTTATGCTGGAACTCCAGCATAATATACTGGAGTATTTTTCGGGTTTTGAACAGTGTTTTCGCTCAGATTTATCTTTATATAAAAGTAGCTAAATTTCGATTACTTTTAAAATTGGACTATTTTTGAACGACCAGTTGTAAATCTGTCTATTTTTAAAATTTACCCCAGAAATTAAGTTATAATCTAGTCCTCTTCCGCTCTCGTAAAACGTGGACCTTGATACGTTTCGATTACCCAAAAAATTCCAAGAGAGCCCTAAAACTTCTTCTTCTTTCGCTGCCTTGAATCACGGGTGATCTTGGGCCTGTCACTTTAGCCCAACGAAGCAATACTATTACGACGCCGTTTCTAATTGCAAACATTTTAAGTAGTTTCCTGCCACCACCTAACCTTTTTCCCTTTGTCTCTTGTGGATCAAACTCCAAACCAAGAAAGAAAATGTAGTAAAACTTTCGTCCTAAATGAATTTTATTTATTTATTTATTCATTCATAACTACTGTAGTACTTAGTCTAGTAGTGAGGAAAACTGAATTGAAAAGCAGTCGGCTCAAGAATTATTGACATTATTAGTACGACCATGCAAGAATGACTTTGTCAGTGTAGTAGCAATTTCTAAATACCTAACTACATTAACTAACCAAGTACTGGCTTTGTACACAACAATTTAAAGATTTCACTCTCAATATATCTTAACATGTTATTGTAGATAGTTTGTCTTAATAACACGTAATTATCTTTTAGATCACCTAATAATGTAATTATTCTAAAAAGGACAGTCCAATGCACTAAGCTCCCGCTATGCTCGCGTCTGGGAAAGGCCCGGACCACAAGGATCTATTGTACGCAGTCTTACCCTGCATTTCTGCAAGAGACTGTTTTCACGGCTCCTGGTCACATGGCAGCAACTTTACCAGTTACGCAAAGCTCCCCTCCCTAATAATGTAATTATTCTATAAACCAAAAAAGCAGGTCTAAAATTGCAAAAATAACGTACCAGGGGCAATGTAACCATAGGAACCAGCAATTGCAGACATGCATTCTGAGGCACCACCATCTACCAAGAATTTAGCCAAACCAAAATCAGCAACATGAGCTTCAAAGTTTGAATTCAGCAAAATGTTGTTGGATTTAACATCTCTGTGAACGATCAATGGCGAGCAATCATGGTGAAGATAGCACAATCCTTTAGCAGCTTCTATAGCAATTTTGTACCTCAAATTCCAGCTCAAAAATCCTCCTTTTTTCCCATGCAATGCCTCTCCTAAACTCCCATTTCTCATGTACTCATACACAAGCAGATTTGTTTCCTTGTTTGAACAAAAAGCAACAAGTCTTACGATGTTCCTGTGTCGAATATTGCCTAGTGTCCGAATCTCGGCTCTGAAACCATGATCATGACTGTTGTTGCCAATACCAAGCAGTTTTTTCACAGCAATTTCAACCCCATTTGGCATTTTCCCATGGTACACAATCCCGGCTCCTCCTCTGCCTATTACATTTCCATCTTTCACACATTCGAGCACGTCCGCAACAGTGAATTCAACCTTTTGGAATGCTGTCATTTTCCAAGAATTCAAGCCTGTTTTCTTGAAAGACTTGGCCTTGATAATAGCTGCAGCTGCAAAGACTAGTGAACAGATTAACAACCCGAGGGCGAATATCAGCTTGAAATCACCACCGGACTTTCCTGGTGGATCAGTGAATAGTGTGAAATTACAAGGGTTGTTCAATAATGAACCACATAGTCGAGGATTGCCCGCGAAAGAAGTAGCATTGAAGTATGCAAATTGGCCTGATTCGGGTAGCTTGCCTGATAAATCATTGAATGAGAAATCAGCAGTTGTGAGACTTCTCATGGTACCAATTGACTTTGGTATGGTCTCATTCAAATGGTTTCTTGACAAGTTCAAGTAGTTCAAGATTCGGATTTCGGACATTCTAGCTGGAATTGAACCAGAAATGTTATTTTGGCTCAAGTCTAGATATGTCAAGTGGACACAATTGCCTATTTCAGGAGGTATTTCACCAGAAAGAAAATTATGACTCAGGTCAATTTTTAAGGCTTGAGAGAGTTGACCTATAGAAGAAGGAATTGGACCAGAGAATTGGTTCCCTCCAAGTGAAAGAATTTGAAGGGAAGTGAAATTAGAAAGTGAAAATGGTAAAGAACCAGAAAGTTGATTGTTTGATAAATTTAATTGACCTAATTTGGCTGGCTTTGAGGAAATGTTACTATTTTCTGATAAGGTACCAGACAAATAGTTATTGTGCAGCTCAACTAAGTTTAACTCAGGCATGTAAATGAATCCATTTGGTATGCTACCATTCAAGTAATTCTGCCCCAATCTCACCCTAGCTAGACTTGAACATGTGCCTAAATCCTCTGGAATTGGACCAAAGAGGAAATTCTTGAGTAAAATCAAGATTCTAAGTTGCTTTGAGGCACACAAGTCTTTAGGAATTGTACCAGTGAGCTTGTTTGATGACAAATCCAGCTCTTGTAGCTTCCCATTTTGGCCTAGCTTCTCGGGGATTATACCGGTGAAGTTGTTCATCCAAAGACCAAGAATCTTCAGCTCGGGAAAATCAGCGATGAAATCCGGTATAGAACCATGTAATTTGTTCATGAATAGGTTAAAAAGCCTTAGTTGTTGTAGATTAATGAGCTCAAATGGAATTTCTCCTGTAAGTGCATTGGCTGAAAGATCAAGATTGACTAAACCAGTGAGGTTGCCTAATTCTTTAGGAATTTGACCTGAGAGAAGATTAATATGCAGAAAAAGTGTGTTCAACAATTTCAAGTTCCCTAATTCAGGAGGAATTGGACCATCTAATTCACAACTAGAAATATCCATGTGAACAAGATTTTCCAATTTGCCAAATTCCTTAGGAATCCCACCTACAAAAACATTGAAATATCCTAAGTAAATCTCTTTTAAGTTGGTGAGATTCCCTAATTCTTTAGGGATTCTACCATGCAAGTCATTTCCAGCTAGTGACAAGTACTCCAACTCAATCAAATCACCATAACTTTCTGGTATTCTGCCATAGAAATAGTTGCCACCCAAATCCAAGTACTTGAGTTTCTTCAAGTTGACAACTCCAAGAGGAAGAAAAGAAGAGAAGTTGTTGTTATAAGCATCAAGAATCTCCAAATTGGACAAACTTGAGTAGTTCCAATCAAGACTCCCACTGAATATGTTGTTTGATATGTTGAGTGACTGTAGGCTGCTCATGTTGTCAATCTTGATTTCACCAGTGAAGTTATTGCCATCAATTGAGAGCTCTACAAGCTTATCTAAGCTTGAAATAGCAGGAGAAACAGAGCCATATAAGTCCATATTGGATAAGTTTATCGATATAACTCGGCCTTGGTAGCATTTGATTCCTAACCAAGAACAAACTGAGCTAGGATTTGAAGTATCCCATGAGCTCAATGCAGGATTTGAGAGCTCAAAACCTTGTTTTAGACTTACTAAGGCAAGAAAATCAGAAGAGGAAGAAAAGGAAGTGCCTAAAATAGTAAAGAGTGTGACAATATGAATGAGTGGCAACATATTTTCTTGGAAGTTTTTCATAGAAAGTGAATTTGGAAGGACTTGAAGAAGAAACAAAGGGTCTTATTATGAGGTTTTGAGACAATGGATTTTCTGGAAAAGGAAGGAAAAGTTAAGGGAATCTGAGAAACTTCAGGTGTAGATAGATTTAAAGAATCAAACATCTTCAAAAAGAAAGAAAGTGAGTATTCAAGATCAAGGAAGAAGCTAAGCCTCCCCTTTTCTCTCTTTGCTTTTCCTTTTATCTCTAAGTGAAGAACACATTTAAGTTTTTATCTAAAAATAAATGGATTTCTTTAACTAATGTTTATATATACAGTAATGAACTTCTTTGAGCAAAGTAACAAAAGAAAAATAAAGAGAAGTAAAGCAGTCTCCTATACAGACTTTAAAAAACAGCCGTTGGATGGCTAACAGAAATTTAAAGTTCAGATTATGAAAAGAGTAAAGTTGATTCTCTCCATATTCAATATGACAAGAATACCCTTAAGCTTTAAGTGGAAAAGACACTTTATTTTAAGTGAGAGATGATGAAATTGCACTTTCAATTAAATCATGAAGGATGGCTGAGTTGGTCTCAAATTTCTGATATGATAATTATGGATAAAGATTTTTCCCATGGAAATAAATTAACTAAAAGAAAAAGGAAAAAAAGGTGGGCTTATGTAATCAATGTATACCACTATTACAGAGTAAATGTTGACCCAAGATTGATAATGACACACAACGAAGAATAATTATAGATTTAGTATACTAGCTAACCAAGATAGCTACTGCCTCATGGAGAATTTAGGGTGCACAGTATCATTCTCATCTAAGGATTTATTAATAGGATTCAACTTATATATGATGGCACCACAAAATATCTTTACAGTACCAATATATATTTATTTGTTACTAATGGAAGCAGCCACTAATGGTAGATTACTTACGTCACATTCTTAGGGTACGGATGTTTTTCGAACCCTATATGACTGTGAAATGCTTTGTACACCACGCTGCCCTTTACTTAACTATAGATAATGTACTCTACTTCGCATACGGCTGCAGTTGGTTGTTTTTAAGATAATTTGATACTCCAATTTTTTTTTACTAGTGATCAGTGTATAAAAATTAAACTCATTTTACCTTGTAGACACTCACATGGCAATATATTATTGTATTGAGCACTAAGAATGAAGATTACAATGACATCACAATTCACAAACTGTCTTTGCATGCATAATATTTATAATGCAAGGGTGACCAAGTAAATTACTAGTGATGATCCTCTTCTCTTATCTTGGGGATAACTTTTTCTACATGGGGTATGATCTGGCAGTAGATGAAATAATTAAGCTAAAACTAGACTAGAAATTTTGTACTTCGTATAGAGTATCTTATGCACAGTAAAAAGGATTAATTTTCTAAGTCTCAAATTGTGATTCTTTTCTTACAGTCGTACTTCTTGGGGTTGGAGACATGTGCCTGCAACAAACAGTGGTAAAAGATGATGATTATTAATATATCATTACAATGTTTTGTGAGGAATGATCAATATATAATTATGTAGTATAGTTAGGTTGCATGGAAGAAACAACCAGAGAAGCTTTTTGATCTCTTCTTTTTCTTTTTTTATGGTAAAACAGCTTGCTTTATTCCTTTCTCTTCTTCCTTGCCCTACAGAAAATGGACCATTGTTCCATGTAAATGTGTGTATTTGAGCTTTATTAGAAGATGGAATAGTCCTAAAGAGGGGGCTGCAAAAGTTAAAGCAAGAGAGAGAGAGATCATATAAGTAATTTGCTTTTGATCTTCCACGTCAAAAGCTAAAGCAACAACAAGAGAAAAGAAAAGAATTAAAAGTGAAAAAAATTAAAACAACTTGTTGATCCCTTCACTTCACATGGAAAAGCGTGCTCTTGTATTATGTCTTGGGACACATTCAGAAAAATGCATGGAAAATAATGTTGTGGCTATATCTGTATGTAGTTCCAAGAGTGTACTAGTCTTACTCAATTCGTTAGCATTAGTGGTAGTATGATATCCTTTATTCATAGATTGTTTTTACTATCTTGAGTTTGTCTATATTGTTCGCTATTCGTTCTTATTTTATCTTTGTTGTTATTTTTACTTGTTGTCAGTACTTTTTTTTTATTCGTTCTCCCGCCGAGGATCGATCTATCGGAACCAACCTCTCTACCCTTCCAAGATAGAATTAAGGCCGCGTACATCTTTTCCTCCCAAATTGCGCTTGTGAAAAATTACTCACCACCCACCTCCCCTAAAGGACCCTTAGGAGATATAGACACAATAGTAGAGTGGCTCCACTCAAGTTTAAATTAAAACTCTCAAGGCAAAGGCAGACTAATTTCATTGCTGGGGCAAGGAGTGCCCTTTTGAGGTGTCCCTGTCCATCAAATTGATGTGCAGATCTACTCCTTGTGATAGGTCATTTTCTTGTGTCTTGGACCTTATTATGAAAACTAGGATAACAACCTGCTGCTGTCCCAATAGATTCAACATTATCATCTTAAGCTTCATAGCCTGGCCTCTCTCTTTTTTTCCTTCAATATTTCAATGCCATAATCAATTCATGTACAATTCAATCCCAGAACTGACTAAAAGCAGATGCAATGTTTCCTATATTTATGTGATGAGAGCGTACAAATCCTTTATATTCAATATTCACTTCATACATGTTGCAGTTCTTGCCCCATGTGAATTAATGTCATTTCCTTCATTTCATATATATATTTTTTAGTTTACACCATTGATCACAAATGTGGACTAAATGTTTCTAGTAAATAACGGTAGTATTGTACATCTTTCTCGTACTGCGAGTATCATACTTCAACCATGAGTTATATACAACAAAATAAAATAGATATATACTCAAACCAATATGTTGTAGTCGCATTAAGTTACGTAAAACTGATAAGAGTTCAACTTCTAAACGTAACACGAGCAAGTATTCCGTATTCACGTAGGGTCCGAAGAAGGGTCACATTCTAAATTGTGTATTGTAGACAGCCAACCTAACACAAGCATTAGTGGCTGCTTCCACAGCTCGAACACGTGATCTATAGATCACATAAAGACAATTTTACTGTTGCTCCAAGGCTCGAACCTGTAATCTATAGGTCATACAAAGACAATTTTACTGTTACTCCAAGGCTCAAACTTGTAATCTATAGGTCATACGAAGACAATTTTAATGTTACTCAAAGGCTCAAACCTGTAATCTATAAGTTATATATACGAAAACAATTTTACTGTTGATCCAAGACTTCTCCTCCAAATGGTAAAAAACATATAATACAAATATTTATACTATTAGGTTACTTAAAAGGTACAATTATATAAAATTTTCATAATAAGCGCAATTTATAACTTAAAAAATATAATTTTTGATAGTATAAAAATTATTTCTAATCCCAAGTTATCATGTCCGTGAGTCAAATCAGTTGGAATGATAGAGGATGGCTTGAGACAGTTAACAAAGAGGGGCATATAATGTCTGTATATGACGGTATAGACATGACATATTCGAGAATTGTTTTTTCTTTAGAAGTATTCATATGTATTCATTTAGCTTAGATTTCATCATAGAAGATTCCAAAGAGTGATGTGTATCCACCATTTCATGACATTCAGTAGTACTACTGCCTAAAGTCAGAGAAAGAAGAAGAAGCAATAGCTATAACCAAATTAAAGATTCAATTATTGCATGTATCATTACTTTGATCAGAGATTGCGACTTGGGAAACATCCACTTGCATAGGTTAAAGAGAATGTTAAAATAACCTTTTTTCTCTTTCTCAAATGAGTAATAAAAAAGAAAAATACAAGGAATTCAATTTTCATATTTGTACATACATGTAGTATTGTTTTATTGGTCCCCTCATCGGCTAAGTCGATGGTATTTACTTTTTTTGTTTTTTGGGTTTTACCATCCAAAATCTAAGAAACAAGTTAGTGCCACAATACAAATCTGTACAATAGTATCATACTATTTGACCTTATATCAAATCTGATATGATTTAACTTTTGTAATTGTAGTTTCATGTTTTAAAAAATTCGGTGGTTATACCAAGCCAAGATCCTTCTACAAAAAACATATATTCAAATTTTCTTCCCTTGGTAAATTTTTTTATAAATAGTGAGGAATTTATATCAAAAGCAGGTGTATGTTATTTTAAAAAACGGTTTCAAATTATACAAACTCTGCCTTTAACAAAACGGATAAAGGGAGATGAGAGAGAAAAATGTTTTTCAAAACAGTGGCAGACCTATGTAGTAATTAGAGGAGTCACGGACACCCGGAAAGTTTGGCAAAAATTTCGCGTATATATATAATGCAAGAATGCATCCGCAACCTTTAAATTTTGGGTCCGCCTCTATCTCAAAAGTGTATAGGATCTTTCATTAGTTAATAGACAATCATGTTAATCTTGGGTTTTAGTGTGTTATGTGTATGAGATCGTAGGATGCGTTTATAGTTTACCAAAGTATTTATTCATCACATATAGATCATTTCCAGGAAATTAAACATCTTTAGTATCTAAAAAAGAGATGTGAAAAAGCTTAGTTTCATTGTAAAAAAAATACGGAAAAGGGCCAAAACTATCCCTATCGTTTGATAAATGGTTTATAAATACCCCCGTCCATCTATCCGTTCAAAAAAATACACTCCATCCATCTATCCGTTCAAAAAAATACACGAAGTTAATTCTATTAACAAAAATACCCCCGCGACTAACGACAGAACTGATGGAGTATGTTTTTTTAATGGATAGATGGACGGAGGGTATTTATAAACCATTTAGCAAACGATAGGGATTTTTAATTGGGCCACGTGGCAATCTTTGACTGGAACAAAAAATAGATATTATTTCAACCATTTACCTTATCCGACCCATTTACAAAAATGGGTAGTATCTATCACACCCATTCCCACTCATCTGATCTCCCCCTTTCTTCTTCTCCACACAATAACAAATTAATTAAAGAATAGATAAAATCCAAAATCAAATAACCCGAAATTCAAACCAGATTCTGAAATTTCTCCAATCGAACTCAGGATAAGTATTGAAACTCTTATATGGAAAATCAACAGATACATTTGGGTTGTTAAGTAAGAAGACAAGGATCAAAACAAACCAAAAATCTGAAACAAAAAAATTGAGTCCAAATGCTAAAATTGTCCAAATTTATCAATCAAATCTAGGAGAAATATTGAAACTTTGAAAGGGACAAGTAATGGAAATCTTTGGATTATTCATAAGAAGATAAAAGAGCCATGAAATAACAGAGAAAAAACAACTACATGTAACTGATACAAGCACACAAGAAAATTCAAACCAAGGTGCTAAAA